ACATGAAGCCTACTGAGCAAGCACTTACCATTCACCCTTGAAGGCTGATGCTTTGAATTATGGAATTGAAATTTTTCATTTCAAAACAAAACACACAAACAACAAACCCCTACAGTTGCAGAGAATCCTGAAACCAGGGAGCAAGAGATGTATGCAAGAGAACATACCTGATTTGCAAATAACAGAAAATAAGTCTCAACAGCCTCCATCTCAGAAGAGCCTCTTCAAGGGGGTTCCTAAGGGTTTTCTCAGCAGCCACTCAGTGGCTGCAGGCTTACACAACAAAATTGTGTGTGTAATGCCACTACTTAAGTTTAAAAAAAACCCCGTAAGTCAATCTCTTTATGGATACACAAAATTAAATAGTTTTAACGGGCCCACCATTGCATTTTGGGAATGAGTCATGTAGTCACATTACAGTTAATTAATTACTACTACTTAACTACTGAGTCAGCTTATGTCTACTAAGTTATTAACTATTTAACTTTGGGTGTTACATTTCATACATCTGAAATCTAGCTGAAGCAGGATCGTTTTCCTCAATGCACACCTTTCAAGCCTTTACAAAATTCTCCCTAACCCCCAATCAAAAGGTCTCTGTAAAATAATTAGGTTATGTGGCCACATTATCACAAAAGTTAATCCACACAAGTTACTCTGAAGCAATCATGAAGCTGCCATATCACAAGTACAAAAAAAAAAAAAGCTACACTTCTCTAGAATAAAAATCCAAGCTGCACGAGAATCACATTATTAAGACATTTACTACAAATGAAGTACTGAAAGAGCAGCCTCCCCACCAAATTATTTATTCCATAAATCAACTATGACATTCAAAAGAACGCAGACTCATGATCAGCATAAGCCAGCGCTAACACAGGCTGTGGCCTAAAGGGACAATACTATCCTCAGTCTCCTTTGCGGCAGTACCAGCTTTCCATCAGGGGACTCATCTATTTCAAAACTAATTATTGGTTTTGCTGGATTTTCAGCAGCAGCACAGTACAAGACATTGTCAGCAAAAAAAACACCAGAATAATTAAAGACATATTTAACCAACAGCAGAGTGGAAAAGGAGCTGTTCTGTTGTCACTGTAGACCTCTGCTTATCTGTCAAAACAGGAGAAATCTTTGTTATTTCGTTACAGTTGTCATTTAAATTAAAGGCATTCTAGTCATCTTTTCTCATCATTTTACTCATCAATGAACAAAAGATCAATGAACTACAGAATCTATTCTCCACTAATCATAGTAACAGATTACTAACATACATACACTGAAATCTGGAGTACTTTGAGTAACACATGAATGGTTTTGCACAGATGCAGAATCAGGAATACTTAATACCCCAGGCAGAGCACCAGCTCTGCCACAGCCCTACACTAGTGGCACAGTTCATCCATACTTTTTTCATTAGCACATATTTGAGGTCAGTCATTAAACAGCACATCTCTACACTCAGCCTCTTGAAGCATATTATATGCAACTCCTTATCATAATTTCATCAAACTACTGGTTGTATAAAATAACATCCTTTCCTTAAATATTTGTGATGTTACTAGAAGCGTCTGGACAATTCAGAGTTATCAGGACTTTCACAATACAGTCAATTCCAGAATACCTTATACTAGCTTCCCTCCAATTTTTTATTACTTCTAAGAATGACCCTATGAATTTTACATGCCACTATTTTAAGAACTACATATAAAAGTGATGGTAGTATTAGGGAAAAAGCATATATGCATTCTCCTTCAGTAATCACGAGTTACAACAACTGCCTGAATACAACTTTAGCAACACTGGAGTACAGCAAGACAAATCCAGTGTTACGTAACTGCCCCAAGTTATGACAAAGATGTGCAAGTTTTGTTTACATCTAAGTGCAAGAATTAACCAAGAGAATCAATGGAAGCTCAACTGTAGAAAACCTGTAGATGAAGGTGTATGGAACCAGTGATCTGTAGAGATGCCCTAATATGGGACCTAAACACTATCAGTGAATGAAAGTATACAGAAAGGGACTAAGATTTTATGTTACCTAAGTTATATGCACACTTGAAAAGCTGCCTCTCCACCTCTACTACTCCAACGTGATATAAAGACAATGACTATTTTAAAAATAAAAGAATCAGAACCAAACATTCAGGAACAAAAGAGCTGTGATCCTAGCACTTGTTTTCACGAATAACTAAAGACATCTTCAGAAAGGTTCATGCAAGCTGATCTGACACAAAACTGAAAGCATCCAGAAAAAACGTAGTATTACACTGTTCTATGTGCAACTCGGTTATACAATGTTCCATGAGCCTGAAAGGGAGTAGGCTGGAAGGAAGGTCTGGAGACAGAGGTGACAACAAAAAACGGATACAATGAAAGGAAATAAATTTTAGAAAGGCAAGGTTCAAGTTTCAGATCCAGGACACTACTGGCTAGCAATAGCAGCAGACAATGCCAATAATTTTTTGTGTCTGTATTCCCCAAATAGAGATCATTTTCCTCTCAGGTAGGAGGGAAATCATGTTTCTACAGCTTGGATGGTGGGCAAGTCAGGAGCCTTAAACTTACTCTATTTATGGCCTCATTGCCAGCATTCTGCTTTGTGATGTTTTATGCAAGTCACTTCACCACAGCATACTGGTTTTCCTTCTCGTTTTCCACATGCTGTCTGCTTTGACCACCAAATCCACCCTTTGAGGATTAGGGACCATCTTACAATTCTGTGCTGCTATTAGCAAAAAGTTAGTGCCAGCCAAAAGTAAGCTAACATTTATGAAGCTTAGGTACGATTACCAGAGATGGAAAATTAAAATACATCCTGCCTATATTAACTACACCAGCTTCAAATGAAGTGGTAGAGGAACATAGGGAAGAAAAAACACTTCACATAAGCCTTAAAAGCCCAGAAGAAAAGGTACAGGACATTGAAAGCAATTAGGCTACTCTACCGGAAGCAGCCTATCACATACTTTCCACAGACCCTTGAAGGCTGGCTTCTGAAAAGAGGTCACCAGAAAAATCTTACTTGGAAGCAGCAAAAGCTAGACGACAGCTTCAACAAACTGAAGATAAAACCAATTGCAGCAGCTATGCTCATCCAAAGCTCCTAAGCTACGCCCTCAGAACAGGCTTAAAAGTGGAAGCCAGACATTGAAAGCTGAGAAAAAGCAAAGCATTCCCAGGAGTTCTTAAGATGATCATTATCCTTGTCTCTCAATACCACCTTCAAATATATAGCCCATTTCATTTCTCCAATTAGTCCAACAGCACAAGAAAATTATGGTAATACTAAAGTTAAGGACTGACCACTAATGTTATAGATTATTATGAACTGGTATTGTGCATGTTAACTAAGACGAGCAACCAAAACTCTGGCTCTGTACCAGTTAGTTTAAGATACCTTTCTGATAGCATTCAGAACACCAAACATTCAAGTTGTTTGTTTAGAAGGCCCAGAAATGTGAAATGTTTCAGACACAGCTGGGAGATCCATTCATTTGTTCTCAGAACAAGAAAGCAAGCTTGCAACAAACACTTAGTGAAAATGTGTTTATTTCACAAGATGAAATATGCCACCAAAATGTCTTTCTTTAGGGAACAGAAAAAAATAATTTAACTCATGCCTGAAAGTTCAAAAGATAACATTTCACACAAAAAGCATATATTAAACAAAAACACAGTAGCCATGTGAAAAGCTACACAGTTTATAGGAACATATTTCCATACTATATTGTGAAGTTTTGTATAATTCATACTCAAGATTTTTATTTTAAGGGTAGTTCAATCCATTTGCTGTGAAGTTATGCCCCCTAACCAAGAGGTAGCTGTGATCCAGCCATGCACTCTTTGTATTCCATTACACATCATTTCTGCCAGTTGACTATTCCTCTTAGTTGCATGAAACTAAGAGATTGCTTTCTCTTTCCTAAATCCTGTAATGGCTTAATGCTGTTTTTCCTCTCAGCTTGAAAACCTAGCCTTCCACTTTTCCCATTAAAGATCCACATATTAATGGGGCTCCAAAGGAAGCTATTGGAATACAATAACACTTTCTAGAGCAAGGTAGAGTTCTAGCAAGTGATTTTTCTTTTTCTTAAATGAGTCAACTTAAGATAAAGTTATTTGCCAGTCAGATGAAATAAACCTTCACATGCCATTTTGGCCTTTCAGTCCCTGAGCCACTGCCTATAGCTTCAAGTTCTTTCCTGTTAAAAGGAAAGCCACGTAAGAATCTAAGTCTGCAGGCTCAACATCAAATACTCCATACAGCTAAAGAAACACACATCTTTATTACGCCAACATCGGTATTAGCCATCTGCAAAAACAGTAAGTAAAAACCACTTTAGACACATTAAATTGCTCTTCCCCCTGAGTATTCCCCTCCTCAGCTTCCCTAAAAGAATAGTTGCTGGCACAAGTGGACAAAGCCACCGCGTCAGGAAACTTGAACAGTATTACAGCTAACTATTGCTATAGATGATGAAAGACTACCTAAAAAGGATCGTCTTGGAAGAGCCGTACCTGCCAGTATTAAAACAAAAAGCACTAAACCCCGTGCTTTCCGCCTTCCCTCCCTTTTCCCACTTTCCTCTCTCCTTCCGCAAAAAAGGGGAGTAAAACGTGAGAACGAGCCTCCTCAGAAGCATCTCCCTGAGGGAGGAAGGCGGAACGGGAGAGAGAAGAAAGCAGCCAGGGGAGTGGGAGAAAAAAAAGAAGAAGGAGAAGCACCCCCCAGCCCGCAATAACCAAGAAACTGACACCCGGGGTTTAACACTTGCCCCAGCAGCTCCGTTCTCCCCAGGCACCGGGCCGGGCCGGCCGGGCCTCCCTCCCTCCTTCACCGGCTCGACAGGCCGAGGAGCCCTACGATCCTCCCCTCAGCAGCCGCACACCCGAGGGCGGCCTCCTCCCACCACGGCCGCCGCCGCCGCCCCCAAGGCAGGCCCTACCCGGCACCCGAGGGCGGGAAAAGGCCCGGCGGCGGCGGCCGTGCCAAGCCTCACCTTTTCGCAGCTCCCGCTCCCACACGCTGACGATGAGCGCCGAGTGCTTGCGGTGGTGGATGAGCCACAGGCTCAGGGTCTGCACGCTCTGCTGCGAGTTGCTCAGCTCCGAGAGCTTCCGCTCCAGCGCCGCCTCAGAGAACGCCGACATCGCCGGGCCGCGCTCGGCTCGGCCCCCCCGCCGCCGCTTCCTCCTCCTCCTCCTCCTCGTCGTCCACCCACCCCGCTCCGCCCGCGCCCAGCCCCGCCTCTCCGCCCCAGCAGGGGAGGAGCCGGGCGGGCCCCGTCCCGTCCCTTCCCGCCTCGCCGGCCGCCACTTCCGCGCACCCGGACAGCCCGGCGCTGACAAAATGGCGGCGGCTGAACCTCCCGGAGAGCCGCCTCGCCCCGCCCCCCTTCTCCTCCTGCCCTCACTTCCGGCAGGGGCCCAGAACGAGGCGGAGCGGGGTGGGGCCCCGCCAGCGCCCGCCGTCCTCGCGCCTCTCCCAGCAGCCTTCGCGCGGCTCTCCCTTTCTCAGGGCTCCGCTCGCCTCAGGCGGCGGGAGGGCTGCCCTCCTCAGGTTTTCCTCAGGTTTTCCTCAGGCTTCCCTCGCTAGCCCGCCTCACTCCAGGTGGCCACACGCCCGAAAGCCTGTGTGTGCCAGCCGTGCCTTACCAAGGGCCTTTGGAGAGATTTCCCAGTAAGCTCTGGGAGGCTGTAGGGTGCGGTGAGGGAAAGCAAGAGTTAGGGGCCGTTACTGCAAAAGGCCAGATATGTCAGCGTTTTGCCCTGGGAAATAATGTGAAAACCCAGACACAAAAAAGGCCCCAAGGCAACCCGGGCCTGCCAGTGTCTTTCACCTAGCAGGTTAAGGAACTTACTGTGAGCCAAGGTGCACGGTACTTCATCTTTGCAAGGTGGACACGTACTCCACAAACATGTCTTGCTTCATTTTTGAAAACTGTCTGGCGTTGACAGTATCATGAGGGTTCCACTGTTCAATGACAAGATGATGTGCAAAAGTGTTTCCTCTTAGTTGTGTTTCAAACCTGTTCCCTTAAATCTTTACTGAAGCCTTGCTACTTCTCCTGTTTTAGAAATAATAGCGAATAAAAAAGGTTCTCTGCTCACCTTTGCATAGGTTTTGCATTGTATCGTCTGCAGTCATTTTTTGGGCTGAAGGATCCAAGTCAGTCCTCCTTACATGGAAGGTGCTCTGTGCCGCCTGACACGAGTAGCATTTCTAGTCTTAATGTAAGCTTTTTCTAGCCTTCCTGCTGCTCTTCTAAAAAACACCTGACACCACTTATTATTTGAAACATTGCCAACTAACTGTTATTTTCAGAGAACTATCCACCTTAACTCCTACAGGTCTGTCCTGAATCCTAGTTCTGTAGCTAATAATTATCACTGCAGATAATGTCTCTCTCAGTATTTTTATTATTTCTATAAAATTATGTGTGTATTAATTAGAAAAATATGCATATACCTTACTCTTGGGACATCCTATCAACGGTTAAGTAGCAACCCTTAAAATGGGAGTATTCCTGTAAGCTTTCACACATCCAGTTCGTCCTCACCAAACAGCAGAAAGTTAGTTACGAAAAAAATCTGTAGAGGATTTTTAAAACTTTACAAAGTTTTCTCCCTGTTTCATGCCTGACATTCAGAGACAATGTCCCACAGGATTGTCTTCAGGCAATTTTCCTCATATTTGTTCTTAGTGAAATCTTCCCTTTAAACATAAAACATTGGCGAGGGCGAGGTGGGAGTGTTAGGAGGTTTTAATGTGAATTCTATTTACAGAATCATCTGTAGCAAGAATGATTTGGGGGGGGACTAGAAAGGATTTTGCAAAAATGCTTTTGACAGAGAAATTTAAGTGAGAAGTTGCACAGATCCCTACAGAGTCTCTTTTTCTATCACTTCACTGCATTTTGATCATCATGAATGAAAGAACCTGTAATATATTGCTATTTTTGCTATGTACAGCAGAGGACACTCTGGCATTAAGTAGAACTGGCCAGTGAACTAAAATGAAGACAGAGCTAACATGCAAGCATGAGAAAAATGAAATATGAATGGTAATCTAGTAACTAACATTCAAATACCATTTTCTGGAGGCATACATTCTGACGTTAGCAGGAGAAACTTGTGGGTAACTATGGAAAAAAGAAACATTTCTCTCGCATACAAGACTAGATTAAAAAGTATCTAGGAACAAACAGTGAAATTTAGAAGTTAAAGCAAAAAAGATAAGGAAAAAGAACAGGAAATTGGTAGAGAATTTTAGTAATGATTGTAGAAATGTTTATTATTGCTTCCTCTGCATTTTTTATCCCAGATTATCAGAACATTTTACAAACAAGAATAAATCCTCTGAGATAGGTATTTGTTCTGTAAATAAATATATTTAAATACCAAGAGAATGACTTATTGTCTGTGTATAATCTAGTGTATAATATAATGTACAGCAAAATTGATATTTTACTTTCCCCATAAATCTTTATAGCACATTTTAAATTTGTAATCATAAATGTTTACATCAGTAATCTAATTTTAAAAGCTATGCTTATCCAGTCAGTGAATGGAAATTTACCACGAGACTTACTCAAAGTGAAGTGACTCTCAGACAGCAAGTATGCACAATGGAGGGTTCATTTGCTGCAGAGCTTTGAAAACCTCAACTTTCATTCAGAAAAAATTCAGATGTTATTCACCTGCCTTTAAAAAAAATTCACCCATGTCCGCAGGGGCGGAGTTGCCAACAGATGGCAAGTTTTCTTCCACCCATTCCTGTGTTCAAACTGTAATAACAGCTTTCCTCTCGTTCCCTAAGAATGAAATTCTGCACTGCTTCCCTTCTGTCTGACCACCATGGGTTGGTGGTAGTTCGCTGTGTTTTCCTGCTCCTGGAGAAAGGAGCCCTGTGCAAGTGTAAGACAATGACTATGAATAAATTACTCGGTTGATGTTTTTGTAGAACGTGGGACTGGGAAGCTCTGGGTAGTCGAAAGATGTAATTACATTTCAGACTGCAGTCGCCAAGAGGCTGTATAGCATCCTTACACTTCATATGCTGGCCACAGATTTTTTGTTTCTCTTTTCGCCTCTACCAAGGACATCCACACAAAACCTTCCATAAGAGGGGAATTTAACCCTAGTAATGATTGGAAGTTTTATGTTCTGTTACCTTGAGGGAATCCTAGGAAGTGTTTAAGCACTAGAAGGACTGATCCGTGTCTAAAATAGCAATGCTTATGGTGCATTGTGGGAAAGGTTAAAAAAAACCCAAAACACATCAGTCCACATCTTTGCTCTCCCCCCATATCTCTGAGCATTTCTATTATCTAGTCTTAGTTCAAAGAGAAGGCTTGCTTTAGTGAGGTGCTGGGGCACACACCATCTTGACTCTGCTATAGGGCTGTCTCAAAAGCAACTATTCCAAGCCACAAACCAGCATGTGTGCTCTTTCTCTGCCTGAACCACTCCAGCTGATCAGCAGAACATTGAACCTTGTTTCTTGGGCTGCCCTTCAGCAAATCTAGCTGGGCGTAGCTCCTGGTACACTTGGAGGCATGATCAAAATTAAACTGCCGCAAGACGGGAGCATGATTTTTTTTAATCACTAAGCATTTTAAAAGTGAGATAACAAAAGACAATACGTGTTTAGATATTTTATCTGAAACTGGCAACAAAAGGAAAAATTTAAAATGAGATCAGCATTAAGACAGAGAAGGCAGGTTGTCTATACTGAGTCTCTTATCTCTCCGCTTTCAGGTAGGGCCAAAGGAGTGGCAAAAGTGGCAGTTTGTGCTGGTTAACAGAGTGCCCAGAGGCAAAATGGGCAAAGCCCCAGTGAAACTGCCATTGTCTGTGCTCCAGCAGTGTCAGTTCAGCGTGAATTGGCTGCTATTGCTCTGCAGAACAGCGCTCTACCTGCCAAATCTAAGAGGTATAGACTATGTTAAAAATATACACCACCTGACTGCTGTTCACTGAGCCTACCTATCTCATTCCATGGTTTGTTGATATGACCATGTCTTAGTCTCAGAGTCAATTTTAACTTTAATTGTTTCCTCCAGGGCACTCCAGTCTGGTACTCCCCCCTTACAGCTGTCATCTTTAGAAGTTGTTTTCTCTTGAAGCCCAGAGATGTAACTGGATGATTTATTTATCCTTAGTAATATTCTATGCTTCACTGGATTTGTTTAGGAACCCTTATTTTACAGCACTACACAGAGCAGTAAAACAGTCTATGTATATACTGGTTTACTAAACATTACTCATCAGCCATGTGGGATTTGAGCTGAAACCAGCTCTTGCATCAGAACAGACCAGATCTTTCCCTGTATGAGGCTGGCGTTTTGTCATTTTTATCTTTGTTTTGGAGCTCTCTCTCAAATAGTCCCACCCAGGAGATGAAATATTATTAAAGGAAAAATGAGGTTTCTCTAGTCTTGTTTCCTGCCTGAGAATTTGTGTTAGTCAGCATACCAATTGCTACCTGGATCTCAAAAATACAGCACTGGCATATCAGTTCCTTTTTATTGTTCCAAGTGTCCAGTCCATCCAGTATAACAGTTTCTGAAGTTTCATACTGAAAAATATTTTTCCGTCTGTCACAATATGCTTGTGCATCTCATGACCCAATTCTGTGTAAATGATCCTACTTCCATATCCCAATAAGGGAATGAAAATAGAGAAACGCAAAAAGAAGACCCTGAAATACAGCTGTAAAATGATTCCTGACTGAGAGATGGTAGTTCATCTGGGTAATTTCTTCAGAAACATTAAATTCCATTTGTTACCTGTGTAACAAGAGGGCATATCCCTGGCAGAAACTATGAATAAATAAATAAGTTTTAAAAAATTGAGTTGAATCGGTGTGAAGTCCTGCAGGCAGGGAACAAAAGAAAGCTTAAATGGAAGGAAGAAGCTCACTGAAGTTACTTACAGGAGCTGCCTACTGGAGCCAAAAACCTCAGAGTGAATAATCGTTCTTCTACATGAGTTCCTGCCACTAAGCACTTCACCTTTTTACTGTAATTCATTAAAGGCAGAAATTACTTGCTACTTCAGAGGTTAACAAAAACCACTTACTGAGATATGTATATATGATCCAGCAAGGCATTCCCATGTCCTATAGAGAAAGATGCATTATACAATCTAAAAAAAAAAAATATCTCTAGCATTTCTGTGATTTCTT